TTTTACGGGGTTTTACATTGGTGGACCCTCATTCTCCTTTTGCTACCATGGCTCCTATTGCAGATGAAGTTCACGCTGGTTTATCTGCTATTGACTGCTCTAAAGTTTCTTATATAAGACGCATTAGTAATGGTGTTGCTCATGCTCTAGCTAAGTCGGTTGACTGTTTGTCCTTTTGTTTTTGCACTGTTTCTGTCCCTATGCTTTTGAGACAGAATGTTGTTGAGGACTTGGCTAGTTAGGTTGTCCTACCTGCTTTAGCTTTTCAAAAAAAAAAAAAATTTCAATATTAGAATTTGAATGAGAGCAATAATAACGATACAAACGTTAGGCATAAATGTGTAGTATTGGGTTGCTAAAATTCAAATATATGGAGAAAGATTTATAACCAATTTTTCCTTAATAAAAACACCTTATAATATTGCCATTCATGAGACGACTCATTATAATTGTTAATGAAAGTACCCACTAAGTTGAAATGCTCAACATCTAATCTTCAACTCCTCTCACAATTATTTTTTTTAAAAAAAAAGTACTTTTTATACAAGTATTTTATCTTGAGCCACCTAACCTTTGATTGGAAAGTGCAAGGGGCGGAGCTATGTATAGCTCAGGGGGTGCCTTGACCCGCCAAAAGTGTTTGATTATGATACTAAAGGTGGTTATTGGTTGGTATAATTTTGGGGTAAGTGAGATAATTTTTAGAATTTTATTTTATGGTGTTATTCATTGAGGCAATGAGATTGAGATTTTACTTTAAGGTGTTATTCATTGGGATAATAAGATTGGAACAATTACCTCACTTTTCCCAAAATTATCCTATTTCTATACAAACTTTTTGTCCCAATGACTAAAAATTACCTCATTCTTAAATTTGGGATAATCATGAGGAAAGTGGGATTATTTTGAAGCTCTAATTTATTAAATATCTAATATATGTATTATAATATATAATATATCTTAATTATATTATATTATAAAATTCTATTATAACTTAAGATAATAAAATATTATATAATATTATCTAATATAATAATATTATATATCATTATTATATAATTTGTATAATAATATTCTCATAATATTATAAATATTAGTTTATATTATTATAAATTACATTCATATAACTTTAGTATATATTTTATATAAGTTAGCAATAAAATAATTGTAGTATTTTATGATATAAAATGTCGCCTATCTATTAAAATCCGTTTTAATATTAATATAATAATATAATTAAATGTATTATAACTATACTTTATTATATAATTAATATTACTATATTTCTATTATACTATATTAATATTACATTAATAGTCTTATAAATTATTGTTAATATTGACGTAGTATAATATATAAATATATTTTATTACTAAAATAATAATTATAATAAATTAATATATTACTTAAATCATGATAATATATATACAATATATAATATAATATTTAATAATAGTTTTTTAATTAATAATATTGAACATATTAATAGTGTATTACTGTTATTATAAATATTATATTTTAATAAGGAGACATAAAAACAAAATATTATAATATTTGATTAAATATTATATTAAATGTATTGTTTGTATATTATATCAATTATTATATAATATATCATATTATTATAACATATTATATTATATTAATTAATATATTAAATATAGTTATAATTAATTAGTAATTATAATATAATATATTATGGTATAGTATAAAGTAAAATAATGTATTATATTATAATAACATACCAAATAATATATTAAACCAATTAGGTGAATTAATTTAGACTTAATTGATAGATAAATATTGTACTTTAATAAGATCTCACATCATCAATTATCCCACATGAAGTATCAAATCAAAGCTTCAAATTGTTCCATTATCCTAAATTGTCCCACTTTACACCACTTAAAATATCCCAAAGGGATAAAATGGTTCCATTAGAACAATTATCTCACTTAGCCCTAACTTGTCCCAACCAATAACCCCCTAAGCTCATGTAGCCATCAACTTCTCATAGACAAGCCCATGGATCAAATTGGATGGGCCTCACTTGCACAAGGCTCGGTGTGCCATTTTTTGCCTAGATTATCTTATTAGACTGGGCCCAATTTGCAGCATATAAACTCACTACTAGAAAGAAGAAGCTCTACTTGCACTTTTCAAAAAATTGCAATAACCTTTGAATTTATTCTGCTAATTTCTTTCGCGCTCTAGGTAGTATAATACTTGAATTTCGTCGATTATCCTATTAAGTGGATGCTGCCAGCTTCTTCACAATTATTAGAGATTGTCTATGAGACACATCTTAGGGTTGTGCGTAGTAGATAACTTTGTCCTTTTAAATTAACTAGTATAGTGCACGTATGTTGCACGTGGACATATTTGTTTTATGTTCTAATACTTTACACAATTCATTATTTAATTAATGAAAGAGTTTCATTTTGAATGTAATTATAACAACATTTGAGGACTTATTTGTAATTTTCTTTCAATTTAAATCACATACTTCTTTTAGTCTTCTTAAGATTTAAGTTTTGAACTATATAGGGGTTTACCTGTAAAAAATTATGAATTTCAGTATTTTTCTATAAATATATGAAATTTCAATGGTCTTTGTGAAAATTATGAAGATCCATGGTTGTTTGTAAAAAAATTTAGGGTTATTTTGTGAACATTGGCAAATCATGGAATACCCAAACGATACAAATTTCTTTTAATCTTAAACAACATAATTCTATTTATTTTATAATTTAAGACAATGAATGACATTTAATAACTACTGGTAGTTTTATGTGCAAATTTAAAATATAGTTTTAACATTAGGGAGGTTATAATATACTTTAAACATAAAATTTTTTATCCAAAAGACAAAAATTTCAAGTTTGTTCTTTACTTTTATGTTAAGTGTGTCATGCTATTCCAGTTTATATTAATTATCTTTGTTTTTGCTAATCCATTATAACAAAATAAATTTCTCACTTTTACCTTCACTCTCTTCTATTATCATATAATTAGTAACATGCTACAAAAAATATATCTACTAAGTTCATGGATAATACATAATTAGTAACATGCTACAAAAAATATATCTACTAAGTTCATGGATAATACAATATTTCTCTCAAATCATAATTAAGTACATAGTAATATGGATAATACAATATTTCTCTCAAATCATAATTAAGTACATAGTAATAATTATAGAAATAGAAAAAAAGTTCATTAAAACCCCCTCAAATTAGACCTCAAACTTTAGCTTCAATCTGAATTCTCCACATTTCCTTGTATCAATCGTATCCTCAATCCGCATATAGCCGTCAGTCTAACAATCACATCAGTATAAAGTATAATCCGAGTAAAGCTCCCATCAGCACAATTCAATCGTCTTCACCCCCCTTTGTCGTTATCTCTTCTGAAGGGATAATGTTTTCAATGACGAGCTTGTATCATCCAAATATATCATAGTAAAGTAATGTGGTGAGTATAGGATGCTGATAGGGTTGTAAGAGGTGAGTGTAAATCTAAATCATCAAATGAGTGAATTTATATAGGTTGCAAGTAAGGGCTATTATGATAAGTTTGTGTTTATATGTATGCAAGTATGTGTTTTATGGATGCATGTATGTGGTTTGGAGGGTATTTTTGGAAGAAATGTTTTAACATACCAACACATTTTTATAATATAGTATTAGATTGACTTATCATTAAATGAAAAAGCACACAGCTTCAATTTTAAATTATTGTTCCTTTTATTTGATAAAGTAAATAAGGGAGAACATATGTATCTTTGGATACTTGGGCCTCCAATATAATGATTCTGTCTCCGCCATTGGGAAAGTGGAAGCTATAATTAAAAAGAACTTATATATGCTTATTGATGACATATCATTAAGATTTAATTTTTTAATAATGTATATTACATTTATTATAGTATTAATCATTTGAGTATGTATTTATGCATGCTCATGTATGCATATGTACGTGTTTTATCATGAAGAGATATACGCATGTATGAGTTTTTGAGGGTATTTTCGGAAGAAAATATTTTAACATCCTATACACTTTCCCCAGAAAAAAAAAACAACCAAAGCAAGAATATCTGTTGTGCTTAAAGATCACCCCCTAAATATGCACATGAAGAAATTATGAAGAGGAGTGAAACAAGCGGCAATCATGAGAGAATTCACATTGGACTTCATCAAGGTTGGCTCAGGTACCACTTGTTCGGAAGAATGATGGGCATTGCTAGGAGTCATGGACTTTGATAGATGCTAAACAGCCAACTTAATGTAAACTTCCAAGGTATTTTATGTATGGACCTCAGTTACTGTTTAAATTCATCTCTCTGCCTTATTCTTATCAATATGAGACTATACTCGTGCATAAATAATCCAACATGGTGTTACCCATCGATTCACTAAAAAGACTGCAACAAACCGATTTACAAAAAGGACCAATGAAACTGAATGAAAATAGTTATCTCTTCACTATCTTTTTACAGCAAATTGAGCCTAAAAGTGCAAAACGCACGATTTTTCTTGTTCAACCCTCTCAAATTGCGAAAAACTTTAAAGCGGAATAACATTTAACATTTCCGAGGCATTTAGCACAGAAAGAACTTACATCGAAAGTAAAATTTCATGCAGCTCATAGGTTCTATATTGAAGACTCCTTTTTGCAAACGGAGGGAGAGAAGAGGGGAGAAGGGGAATTAAATTTCACTAAAAACCCTCAAAATTTGGGGTGGGTTGCACAAAACCCCCTGACCGTCTAAATTTTGAGAAAACCCCATAGGCTTAAATACCCTCTTCAAAAAATAACCCCTCTCTCAATAAAACCATAGAAAAGAAAAACTCTTCCGCCCAATTTCTTACTGTTTGGCTTGTTTCAAAGTTCAGTTGGAAGTCTCGGGATTATTTTCCTCAACTTACCCGAAGTTCATGGTAATTTTGTGAAACTTACCCAAAAACTTAGAAATCCAAGACTAATTTTGTGCGACTTCAGTACAATCGAAGGGAGAAACTTCTCCTCTTCATCTCCTTCTTTTGCCCCTTCTTCATCCCCTCCAAGACCTTCAAAGTATCTTCAAACTCCCCTGCATCACACTGTATCCTTAGCCCGCCCTCATTTTGGTAACCAAATGTCTCTGCAGAAGCCTCCATCAATTCTTTGAAAGCCTGCAAGCTTAAATACGTCGTCGGTATCACAAACCTCTTCATGTCTTCACCTACGTAGACCGCCAAGTACCCTTTTGGTACCTCTGACTTTGAATGTAATAGTGTTGCCTTTGGATGATCATTTGGTCTAAGAAGACTTTTGCTCCTCTTTGAAGAAGAGAAAGGAGAAAATTTAGAACTTTGAAGGAAAATGTCCATTGTTATTGTGGTGGTTCATGCATAAGAACTTTTGTGGAAAATTGATGAAGAGAAGAAGAGTGTTGTTTGGCAGTTTGGGTAGTGATGGAATAAATGAGGCCAATAAGCCTAAGCCCCCCTTGATCACAATATATAACGACCTACGCTACCTAACGTTGAGTTAATTAAAGTATTGCTCTATATTTTCAGTATGTCAGGTATATTTCTTGGATTTGTGCACTTTCTGATATATTTAGACTGTGAAAATACAAATTATAACTATCTAACATCTAATGAGTGAAAATTATAGAAACTCGAAGGTATAAAAATGTAAGTCCTATTAATAAAGAATTACAACCAAATAATTTAATGTTATTGAATGATTATGATTAAGCAAGCCATTCTCTATTGATGAACCAATGAACTATGAAAAAAAAAAGCAATTTGCGGGAACAATGAATAAACTAGGAATGAGCCCCCAAATATTATTAGATGATTATTCTTAAAATTTCCTAACCACAACTCAAAAGTTATGTTGGATTGTTGAGAGCTGAGAGTTATGATGCTATATTCCGACAATGAGCTATGGAATGGTCTTTAAATTCCCTAACCATTATGTCAAAACTTCAAATTTGTACTGAGGGTTGAAAGTATTGTTTTATATTTTAACAATTATTATATATTATTGATTGATAAATTAGCCTCTCTACTAAAAGGATTGAAAAACCGTGCCAATCACATTCCTGTTTTAAAATGAGGATTCCATATTTGATTATCACAGATGCCGATCAGGAAGTCACATATCAATGATTAGATGAAAAATAAAATAAAATAAAAGGATACAGTCATCTTCACCTTTACAAAAAGGATAGCCGACCTGTAATAATGTTTGTTGGTTAATGATTAGTTTGATTACCACAAAGATCTCTTCCAATAAACAAACAATGTCGTGAATACCACAACAAAAGATGTCACAACTTGAGCCTGCATAAGAGAGAAGAGCGTGCCTCTCACTTTCTCTCTTGTATAATTTATGGTTAAATGTGTGGACTTTGAGTTAAAAAATTAATAAAATTTTAGAATATGAGAGAGTGAAAAACATAGAAATACCATATGTCAATTTTTGTGCATTTGATAGATATGTACGGGATTTTAAAATAGAACAATCCTACTTACATTGTATATATAGACTACAAATATCAATGAATATATACATTTTTTTTTCTGGTTTGCTCTATTTCTAACATGGTATTAGAACCATTCAATCAATCCCTTCCGCAAATCCCAACTCCACAAATCTAAACACATGGGCTCCACTATCTCCCCCAAAGTCCTAGCTTGTAACCCTAGCCACAACCCCATCCCCAAACCCTAGCTCGTAACCCTAGTCGCCACTGGTCAAGATCCTAGCCGTGCATGCTACTTCTCATGCACTAGATTTGCAGCATGGCTCGACCAATTGAGCCAAAACAGCATCGACGTGCACATGATCTGCACCATCGTTGCACGATGTACATCAGAGATCTGCATCATCACTGCACGGCGTGCACCAGATCCGCACCAGGCTTCGACCAAATGAGCAAAAACAGTACCACCGTGCAACAAATCTACACCAGGGCTTGATCAACAGAGTCAAAATCGCATCATGTGCACTAGATCTACACCATCGCCGCACCATGTGCACTAGATTTGTACCAATGGTCGACAAACGGCGTCCTACCTCATCATTCATTAAAAAAAAGAATCTTCATATATCTTCATCGCTCAAAGCCACTCATTTGGCTTCCAACTAGATCTTCATATAGATCTTACGCCATTTATTTGGCTCACAACCTAGACCTTCATAGATCTTGCGCCACTCATTTGGCTTACAAGGTAGATCTTCATAGATTTTTAGCTAATCATTTGCTTAATCAATTTTAAGCTAATAATTTAGCTTCCTCTTTTGACCATTTATTAATAATCTCTTTGAGATAAGCGATAAGTTGTTCTTCGTCATGACGACACTAGTGATGCACTTCCATCAACAATCCATTAATGTAAAACTTGATGGTAACAACCATTGTCTCTGGTCCTACTCCCTACGAGTCATCCTATGCAGTTGTTGGCTATGGGGACACATCGGTAGCACTTCTAAACCTCCAACACAATCACTTCCTACTGGTGATCTCACCAAAGATACGGATGCTCTCTCCTCTTAGTGTTAGATATAGGTGCCCTGCAGACAATAATTGTATATTGTAACATGACCTATATGAATATAACATCCTTATTCAAAATGATAATATGTTATTTGGTTAGATTTATCTCATATTTTAAAATAGATAAAGTCCTTAGAATGATACTAGACTATCAGACATTTCGGATATGATCGTAATGAATAGATCTGATTTGTCGCTAACGTATATTCTAAAATGTTCCTAGTCGATGAAGTGTAGAAATGAGACATCATCACTTTGGGAAGACTAGTGTATACTCTATTTCTCCTTTGGTAGGATGATGATCCATCTCTTGGATCATTGATGTGAGACATCAAGATATATACAGGTGACTCATTAGTGAATAAGTTGACTGAACGACTCACTCAGAATGTCTAGTTGGTAATTATACTTAACAGTCAAATAGAAGTTCTCAAGTGATATAGTACAAAGTAGTCTCTTGACCTGAGGCATGAGTCCAATATCTTATATGTCAATATAGGTGTACTTAGGCTTTTACCAAACCATAGTTCTCATTGAGTTATGCATAACGGTTCTTGTTGGGTGCATCCCGAGACATATATAGATATTGAGATGCCAAGATAGGATTCGTCTCTGCCAGTATAGGGGGTTGATGTCATAAGATTGTTTGATATAACTATAGTCTGGAAATCCTTGGCCAAGATAAATAAGTTAAACTGAGTGTCAGTTTGATCTTAAAGGTTATAAGTTTAATATTAACAAACACAAATCAAACTATTAGGGTTTGATAGTTTTCCATACCCTAGGCTCGATAGTTTGACATTGTTTGACGAAGAGACCAGACCGTACAATATTATCACTGAGTGGTCCCGATAAAATTATGTAAGTATCTTGCAGACATTTATCACAACTTATACCTGGGTAGTCTTCATATGTAGCTAGCACCTCTGTTGTACCTGTGGATATGATCCACTGCCGAGTCTTAAGTTAGGCCCTAGAGTCACACCAAACGCATACTTGAATCCTATAAAATACAATTTATAGAGTTAAATGCGTATGATTGATACACATATATGATTTTTACCGGATACACATAAACGATTATATGTATCAGTAAAATCAGAATGCTATAGAATGCTATGTGCTTAAGAAATGAATTCTAGTATTTTTTTTATAAAGTTAACTTTTAGTCAACTGATTGACTTTTTGGTCAACAGTTGACTTTTGGTCAACTAATTGATTTTTTGGTCATATGATGACTTATTAATTAATGATTTAGAAAATTACGCAATACCGTATTTATGAAACACCGTATTAATGTGGTATTTTTATTTATGAAATACATACTTTATTATACCTAGATTAATGAGTCATGAGATGAGTCATTAAGGTGGTATGATTTGGAAACATGGTTTTAGAACATAGTTTTGATTCTTCATGACTCTTTGCATGACTCATGAGATGAGTCATTGCATGACTCATGAAAAGAATCATTTACATTTAGGTGACTCATGGCATGACTCATGAGATGAGTCATGACATATCTCACTATATATATATGAGCTCTCTCTCTCTCTTATGGAGAGGTTAATGAAAAATTAGCTAAGTGGCTTTTTCCATAAGAGAATAAAAAAGAGCTCTACCTCTTACTAAATTCTAGCAATCTTTGAGTAAGAGAAAGTAGTAGGATTTTAAAATACCCTGGGATGGATATCTTGCCTTATGTCTCAAGAAGACTCTGATTTTATCAAGCTCACTTGAAGACTTGGAGATTTACTACAAGGAGGGTTATAACAACAAGGAGAACGAGTTAGGGGTTGTTCGATCTACTATCGAATCACGCTATGAAAGTAAGCCTTCGAAGCTCTTGGTTGCTCTCTTTATTATAGGGATCATGTTAGATTTAATTAGGATGGTCCTATCTTGTATTTTATGCTCTCTACATGCTTAGTATTATTATGCATACAGTCTTCTGTTGCGTATTTTACATGTAATTATCACGAATTTCCAACATGGTATAAGAGCCATGGTTCCATCTAATTAAATCTTAACATGCTCATCTAACTCATGAAGGACTTTATTCTTGCTTCTAATTACTAGTGTAGATGAAACTAGTTAATTAATACAAGTTGTTTTGTAATTAGTTATCCTAGTTGTTGATTCAAAAATGTTATTTTTTAGTTTATAAGTTTTTAAGAGTAAAAACACTTGTATAAATTGCAAAACACTTATTTACGACTAGTGTAGTTGTATGTCAGAAGCATGATAGTCCTATTTGAGTTAGGATAATCCCTACGTTATCTAGTTTTTCAATTTATTGCATAACTAGATAGATGCATATTTCTTAATATTGATTAAGTTATATGTTTTATATCATCTTACGTGGATATTATGTTTATGGATGGTAGTGGACAATAATTCTCCTGCATTTATTATATTGATGTAAGCTAGAAATGTAATATTATTTATGACATCTTCCCTCCTCGAGCATGGGCTACGCCTATGAGTTTAGGCACTTGCTCACCGATCATGAGCTACGCCTACGGGTATAGGCCCTTATTCGGGTGTAAAGGGTATGGTTATTTAGTTAAGTTATTTTATTTATAGCTTTTATTTTACATTCAATGCAATATTATTACTCATTCTATGAGATGATTTTTCCATAATAAATGGGGCTTGCACATTCTATGAATATGTGATTGTAATAATACAGGATTTGTAAGGGAGCTAGCACTTCAAGGAGTTGCAAATTGCTTACCAAAATATAATTAGTGTAGTTACATTTTATTCCTTTAGTTGTCCACTACCATTCCATATTGCTTTTACATATGTTGATATGTT